AGAGCTGCCGTTCGCTGTAAAACCCTCCGAAAGAGGGTTATAATCTCAACAAATACTAGCCCCACCCACCCCCCACTCCCCCTCTCCATCTAACGACTAATTTAACTTCTGTTCAGTATAAGATCATTCATTTCATTCAGATCGGATAAAATTAATCACTGAAAAGAAGGTTGGGGGGTGGGCGGGGCTAGTCATGTTATTGTGTCGAGTGGGAGTGGCCACTAATAAGTAATAGAATTTAGGATGCGAAAAAAGTAAAAAAAAGCGCTAATCGTAATTTTTTTTTGTTATACCATTTGCTATAAAATGTATTTCTTATTTCATGCACCTGATCTGACTAGACCTAACGTGACCTGACCTGTTCTGACTTCTCTATTGTCTCAAACAAATAAATTTTAAACATTTCGCAACTGGAAAAATTTTTATATTTCCATTAGCGATTTTCGAAAAACAGTAGCAATTTCCGAAGAAACGACGTCGAAAATGACCTCTTGACTATCGAAATCTATAAGAAAATGTATCAACTAACTTTCGAAAATAGTTGAAAAATGTTCGAAAATGTCAAAATGCCAAAATTAGTATTATCTTATCAAATACTAGCCCCGCCCACCCACCCTCTATTTCCTTAGAGACTATGTCATTTGCCCAAATCAGTTTTATCTTAGCAAGTACTAGTTAATTTCTGTTCAGTATAAGATAAAATCATTCACTGAAAAGGAGATAGGGTGGGCGGGCGGGGCTAATTATGTTCTTCGGTCGAGAAGGAGTGGAAACTAATAATAGAATGTAAGATGTGAAAAAAGTAAAAATAAACGCTAATTTTAACTTTTTTTTTTTGTTATACTATTTGTTATAACATTTATTTCTTATTTCATGCACCTGATCTGAATTGACCTAACCTGTTCTGACTTCTCTATTGTCTCAAATAAATAAATTTTAAACATTTCTGCGAATATATAAAAACCACAAAGTACATTCTTAAAATAATTGTACTTTGTGAACAAAAAATCAATAAAACTGTCCTTTCTCATCTACAAAAATTTTATACGGAGCGATTTTGACCTAACTGCAAAAATTGTTATATTTCGAATTAGAAAACAGTTGAAAAATGGTCGAAAATGTCAAAAATGTCAAAATCAGTCTTATCTCAGCAAATACTAGCCCCACCCACCCCCCACTCCTCTTCTCAATCCAACGACTAATTTAACTTCTGTGCAGTATAAGATCATTCATTTTATTCAAATCGGATAAAATTAATCACTGAAAAGGAGGCAGGGTGGGTGGGCGGGGCTAATCATGTTCTTCCGTCGAGTGGGAGTGGCAAGTAATAATATAACTAATTTTCGACAATAGTTGAAAAATGGTTGTAAATGTCAAAAACGCCAAAATCAGTCTTATCTTATCAAATACTAGCCCCGCCCACCCACCCTCTATTCCATACATTTTTCTGTTTGAAATGAAACCTAAATTATTAAACAATAATTAAATAAATTAATAAGTATTAATTTTAATTAATATTAAACAACAAATCAAAATTCATTTGGCGAATATTTAGAGCACACCATATTTAAAAACAAGAAGACAGAAATAAAGATTTTGCAATTAAACTCCGCCCTCTGGCTCACGACGAATAAAAAAAATCATTTACAATTGAGATGGGGGTGGCCGGGCGGAGCTTAAATTTTACCGTTTTTTCTGAATATACCTACGTAATCTTCTTTTCGCGACAAGATGGTAAATGTTTGTCGGGAAACATGGATTTTACACTTAAGCTCCGCCCCTTGGTCTGACAACGAATGAAAAATGCATCACAATTGAGGTTGGGATCCGCAGGTGGGGCTTAATTTTTGACATTTATTTTCTTCACTAATATACTCGTAGTTTTCCTTCAACATGATACTTAAACATGTTTCACATGGCAGTTTCTTGTCGAAAAATAAGCATTTTGCCACTAAGCTCCGCCCCTCGGCTCACAACGAATAAAAAAATCATTGCAATTGAGGTGCGGGTGGGTGGGCGGCTTTTTGTATTTTGCTTTTTTTCTTAATATATGCACGTAACTTTCTTATCTAGTGATTTTGTACAGAAATGTAGGGGACAAAATTTACAATTTTAAAAAAATTTAATCCCCACCCACCCACCCTTTCGTTTTTATGGATTTTACCTCAAAGGGTGGAGCTTAAAATCCTTATTTCTCTAGAAGAAATTATATGTAAAACACGGTTTGTGTATTGTGTTGTTCAAAGAATACTATGTACAACAAGTAAAAAATTAGTCTCAATTGTGATCAATTTTTCATTGGTTTTCATCATTTTCAGCAATTTTTGGCCTGACAGGTTTTGGAGGTTCTTTAACACTTCTAGTTTCATTAATTCTTCGTAGGGTTGATTGTGCTATATCAATGAATTCACAAAAAAAAGCTCTATTCAAAAATGTCATTAAAAAAAAATAAAGTTGGCCTTGCAGCTCGAACACAAATAAAAACAAAAAAAATGTTTTTGGCGAATAATTAAATCACAACTTCTTGCACCCCTATACCTAATTTCAGGTGATTTGTACAATTGCTTAAGAAATTGAACCGTTTCAGACGGTAATTTCTAGTGGAGAAATAAGGATTTTGTAATTAAACTCCGCCCTCTGGCTCACAATGAGTAAAAAAAGTCTTGTACAATTGAGATGATGGTGGGTGGGCGGGGCTTAAATTTGGCGGATTTTTTTCTGAATATACGTAATCTTCTTATCGCGACAAAGATATTTGAAATGTTTAAAATGGTACATTTTTGTCGGGAAACTTGGATTTTACACTTCAGCTCCGCCCCTCGGTCTGACAACGAATGAAAAATTCATCACAATTGAGGTTAACGCCCGTGGGTGGAACTTAACCAAAAAGAAACATTTAATACGACATTTATAAATTATAAATAAAAACAAAACCAACAAAAGAAAAATCCATTAAAGCATATCCAACTAAACACTAGAGAAGATGTTCAAAATTCCTGCCTTGTGCATATAAGTAAGCTCGTAATATTTCCAAATTGGATCATTTTCTGTAAAAGTTAGTTAAGATAAAACGGATTTTGGCAAATGAAATACACCCTAAGAAAAGAGAGGGTGGGTGGGCGGGGTTAGTAGCTGAACAAGATAAGACTGATTTTGGCAAATAAGACACTTTGTAAGAAAAGAGAGGGCGGGTGGGCGGGGCTACTACCTGCTAAGAAAAAACTGACTTTGGCAAATGACGTATCCTCTGAGAAATTTAATTAAATTATTACAAGAAACGACAGAGGCTCCAAAGCACTCTCAAATTCTTTTCAAACAGAAATACCTAGAACCTTGTTTTGAATTCTTCAAAAGAAAAAAAAAACGGGGTTCCAAAATTAACTCAAAAACAGGTCAGAATTTTCCAAAAATAGAACACCAAAGTCCCCCAAAATTATTTTAAATAATTTTCAAAAAAAATCTCCATGGGCTCCCAAAATAATTTTCTAAAATTTCTAGTAATTTTGCACAAAAGTGTGGGGGACAAAATTTAACATCTTAGCAAAATTTAAGCCCCACCCGCCCACCCTGTCTTAGTTGTGATGACCTTTGTTTATTCATTTTTAGCCAAAAGGTCGGAGCTGAAAGTCCTTATTTCTCTAGAAGCAATTATCATGTAAAACACGTTTTGTGTTTCGTGTTGTTCAAAGAATACTATGCATATTAAGTAACAATCAAGGCAAAGCTTAAGCCCCACCCGCCCGCCCTAGTCTCAATTGTGATGAATTTTTCATTGGTTGTCAGACCGAGAGGCGGAGCTTAATTGCAAAATCCATATTTCCCTACAAAAATTTACCATTTTAAAAATGTCCAAATATAACGTTGAGGGCATTTTCATCGTTTATAGCTGTTTTTGGCCTGCCAGGTTTTGGGCGTTCTTTAATAGTAAAATTAATATGTTATCATGATAGTCTCCAAATTGCTATTAGCTTTAAAAATTAAAGAGGCTCCTTCAATTAAATAAACCGTTTTTATTTGCACCATGAACCACAATATACCTGAAGCCTTGTCCAGTTTTTGCAATAGCAGTGTTTACTGAACCGTCTTTCCACGTCTTTTTGCATACGTTACTCACGTTTCATCAAGAAAAAGAGGTTCATAAAATTTTTTTCCTTTGTGTTGGTGGTGTTCACGTAAAAATTTTGTTCTTTAATTTAACTGAAGGCCATTTCATCAAAAATAAATTTTAGATAATCTCCTCGATTGACATTAAATCTACAAGATTCACTTTTGTCTTTGTGACTAATTCTAGAAGACATATTTTTCTTGTTTTCAAAGTCCTGGACTTTTTTGTAGCCTCTAGACAGATCTTTCCGAAAAGTTCAACATTTCTGCGACCAGTTCTGACTTCCTTTTTTTCTAAAATTACAAAACATCTTGGTTTCTATCAAGATAGTCTAACATTTAAAATTATTTGTTTTGTGGTCGTTAAATCGCTTCATTTTTGACTGAGACAAATGACAAGTTTCAAAATTTGACGTAATACGACCTACTCAAAATTTTGTGGCTTTTTGTCTCACACAAAGTACGTAAGATAGAAAGAGAAAATGTTAATTATTATTGTTCAATACGCTGGTTAACAGATTTGTCAGTCTTCTTGAGAATGTTTGGCGTAAATATTTAAGTTTATATTTATTAAAATGTTTGGACGTTCTCCGAAATACATTGTAATCAAGATTCTCCTTGTTATGGTCAACGAAAAATCTCTAGTGAGTAGAAGAAACGTAGCCAGTTTGGACTGGCTTCAAAAAGTGCGTTATAGTTCAATTAAAAGTGATAATTACTTATAGTCAAATAAAATTACAATTCACCACTTATATGAAATTACATCACATAAAGCAATATGTTGATATTTTTAATGACACCTGTCCCTTGGAAAATAAACCCCTTATTATTATTATTGTTGGAGAGAATTTCGATTTTGATTTTGGTAAAAATTTCGCACCCCCGCATCGTCTTACCTGCAGGACAGATGCATTCCGGCGCGTCCCTCTTGGCCCCTCTCGCCCCCACGTCCCTCAGCACCCTCCTCTTCGCCACCCCGTCCGCCTCCCGCCGCAGCCGCTCCAGCAGCCCGTCCGCCCCCTCGGCGGCCCTCTTCTCCAGCAGTCGCACCCTCTCCTCCAGCAGGCCCAGCTCGGCCCTGACCTGCCGCCACCCCACGAAACCACACACTGTCACACACACCACCGCCACACACAGCAGCACTGGCCCAAGTCCGGGCCGCGGCACTCGACACCCGGTGGCCTTCTTCGGCGGTTCGTCCGCTTCCATCGCCACCCCTTTGGACGCCACGATGTCTCGCTATTGCATTTCGCTCGTCGACGACGCCGGCTCCCGTTACATCACTCCTGAAGACCGCCGCACATGGCCGGAAGGGGCGAGGGTGGGACACGAGGGGTGAGTTCTCGGAGATCGAGCCGTGTGCGTGTTTGGACAGAGGAAAGTGAACGGACAGACGTGCGCTCGACGACGATGGGACTGAAACTGAGGCGGACGGCGCGAGTTGGGCTCGGAGCGGACGAGGAACGGCGGATGGGGTGAAGTTTTGGGCGCGCGCGGAGGCGGGGGCGGGGGGCGCGCGACGGGGGTGCGTTCGGACACAGGCTGTGGGGGCAGGGCGCAGAACACGAAAACGCGAGTTTCGCTCTCGAAATTGATGGCTCTTGTTTTTAGGTAGTACTCTAAAAATCTCCTCCGCAACGGAGGTTTTTTAGTATGCGCAGTTTTCATTCAAAACTGGGTTAAAATGGTAAATTTTTGTAGGCCAATATGGATTTTGCAATTAAGCCCCGCCCTCTCGACTCACGACGAATAAAGAAAATCATTACAATTGAGATAGGGTGGGTGGGCGGGGCTTATATTTTACTTCTTTGTCTTAATATACCTTGTCTTCTTTTCCCAACAAGAGACTTAAAGCATGTCTAAAGTGTTAAATTTTTGTGGGGAAACATGGATTTTGCAATTACGCTCCGCCCCTCGGTCTGACAACGAATGAAAAATTAATCGCGACTGAGATAGAGACGGATAGGTGGGGCTTATCTTTTGCTTTTCTTTTTTACTTAACACACATAGTTTTCTTTGAACAACACGTGGTAATTTCTCATAGAAAAATACGGATTTTACAATTACGCTCCGCCCCTCGATCTGACAACGAATGAAAAATTCATTGCGACTGAGATCGAGACGTATGGGTGGGCTTTCTTTTGTTGTAATTCAATATATTAATGAAGGCAAAAATTATTACGACCATATCCCAAACATTCTCTGTTTAGCTTACTGTTAAGTATTTGTTTATAAAGGGCGATAAATGTAAGACGCCCGAGAAACGCTGAGTACTTCAGTTTGAATTTTATATTTTATATATGCGTATTTGTGATCTTAAAAGTTAGTTCGTAATAAGCGTTTAAAACGAACGGATCGCATTTTTAATACACGCACTTTAAGGACAATTGTGTTTTAATTAACCCATTTCCTAGATCTTTTTCGCTTAAAACATATAGTTGTCTTTGAACAACACAATTACTTATGAACATGTTTCACATGGTAATTTCTAGTACAAAAAAAAAGGATTTTGCAATTAAGCTCCGCCCCCAGCTTAAGACGAACAAAAAAAATCATCCCGATTGAGATAGGGCGGGTGGGCGGGGCTTATATTTTACCTCTTTGTCTTAATACATTGGTCATCTTTTTACAAGCAAGAAACTTAAAACATGTTTAGATTGACACATTTTTGTAGACAAATGTATTTTGCAATTAAGCTTCGTTCCTTTGACTCACGATGAATAAAAAAAATCATCACACTTGAGATAGGGCGGGTGGGCGGGGCTTATATTTTGCCTTTTTTTCTTAAAATACCCAGTCTTCTTTTCCCAACAAGAGACATGATTGAAGTGGTAAATTTTTGTGAGGAAACATGGATTTTGCAATTAAGCGCCGCCCCCGACTTATGACGAATAAAAAAAATTATCACTATTGAGATAGGGTGGGTGGGCGGGCTTACATTTGCTTATTTGTTTTAATATGATATATATTTTTCCATCAAATTTTATATTTTTTGTTTTTTCAAATTTTCGATTTGCATTTTTTCAATTTTTCATTTTTAACTTTTCAATCTCTATATTTAATTTTTCAATTTTTCGATTTTTGAGTTTCTAAATTTTTCGTTTTCCAGTGTTTCTATTTTTCTGTGCTTCGGTTCTTCGATTTGTAGTTTTTCGATTTTCCATTCTTTCGTTTTTTCATTTTTTTTTCGACTTTAACTTTTCGAATCAAAAATGGAAAAAATAGCATAATTGTAAATTTGAAAAATCAAAAATGAGAAAACGAAAGAGTATAAAATGAAAATTCAGAAAACCTAAAAATTAGAAATCAAGAACTTGAAATATTGAAGAAACCAAAAGATCAGTAATTGGGAAACTTGAAAATCGAAAAAATGCAGAATAGAAAAAAAATATTGGAAAAATCGAATAATTATTAGTAAGAAATACAAAAATTGCTGAATTAAGTGAAACATTATAAGAAAATATTGAAGAAATAAAGGAAATGAGATCATCAAAAATTCTGATATAAAATCGAGAAAATGAAAATCAAAAATCGGGAAAACGAAAAATTAAAAGTGTAATACTAGAAAAATTGCAATATTAAAAAATTGCACATCGCAATATTGAAAAATTTGGAAGTCCAGAATTCGAAAAATTGTAAAAATTGAAAATAAAAGAAAACAAAAACTGTGATATAAAAAATTTGTCGAAGGTAAATAAATCCAGATTTTTCGAAAAATTGAAGATTTTGCCAATTTTAGTTTTTTTATGATAAATTCTTCATTATAACTTTATAATAACTTCATCAATAGAATAAACTACCTCATTCATCAATCAAAATCTATACCAGCGTTTTTCGATTTTTCAATTTTTGGTTTTTTACTTTTTCGTTTCGGTTTTTTATTTTCTTTATAATTTTGTAGGTAAGCGAAGAAAAATGTTTTTTGCCCCGTTGGGAATCGAACCACGCATCTCCTGCTTGCCGGGCGGGTGCCTTGACCACTAGACTACAGAGCGACTTATCTTTACTTTTTTCGCTTACCTAGCTATTATTGTGCCGCCAGAATTTAAATTTTTTGGCTTTTCACTGTTCTAATTTTATTTTTTGTTTTGACATTTTTCAATTTTTGAATTTTTCAGTATTTCGGTTTGCAGTTTTCCAGTTTTCATTTTTCAATTTCCAACTTTTAGATTTTTAATTTTTCGTTCTTTCAATTTTAGGTTTTTCAGTTTCTCGATTTTTAGTTTTAAGATTTGTTTCTTCATTCTTCAGTTTGCAAATTTTTGTTTTTCAGCTTCTAAATTTGTTTTTCCATTTCTTTTTGGTTTTTCAACTTTGCAACTTTTCAATTTTTCGAATACAAAAATGCAAAAATTTGATCGAAAAATCAAAAAAGAAAAAACGAAGCTTAAAATGAAAAATTGGGAACCATTAAAATTGGAAATGAAGATTTTGAAAAATTGAAGAAAGCAAAAATTGGCAAATCGAAAGATTAAAAATTGAGAAATTTTAAAATCGAAAATTTGAAAAATAGAATAAACGAATAATTATAAAATCATGAGAAACATTGAAATAATTTATACAGGTTTCTTTCAACAACATCAAAAAACATGTTTCAGATGGTACTTTCGTGGAAAGAAATAAGGATTCTTTACAATTGAGAAGGGGGTGGGTGGGCGGGGCTTAAATTTTGCCTCTTTTTTCTGAAAAGACATAATCTCCTTTTGACAAGATACTTCAAACATGAATTTTTTGTCCAGAAACATTGATTTTACATTTACACTATGCCTAAATAAGTAGAAATAATTATGCTTTTTGAAATATTTTACCTTTTGCAATTTTCCGTTTTCTATCAAATTTTATAATTTTGTTTTTTCAAATTTTCGATTTGCATTTTTTCAATTTTTCATTTTTAACTTTTCAATCTCTATATTTAATTTTTCAATTTTTCGATTTTTGAGTTTCTAAATTTTTCGTTTTCCAGTGTTTCTATTTTTCTGTTCTTCGGTTCTTCGATTTGCATTTTTTCAATTTTTCATTTTTAACTTTTCAATCTCTATATTTAATTTTTCAATTTTTCGATTTTTGAGTTTCTAAATTTTTCGTTTTCCAGTGTTTCTATTTTTCTGTTCTTCGGTTCTTCGATTTGCAGTTTTTCGATTTTCCATTTTTTCGTTTTTTCATTTTTTTTCGATTTTAACTTTTCGAATCAAAAATGGAAAAAATAGCATAATTGTAAATTTGAAAAATCAAAAATGAGAAAACGAAAGAGTATAAAATGAAAATTCAGAAAACCTAAAAATTAGAAATCAAGAACTCGAAATATTGAAGAAACGAAAACTGAAAAACCAAAAGATCAGTAATTGGGAAACTTGAAAATCGAAAAAATGCAGAATAGAAAAAAAATATTGGAAAAATCGAATAATTATTAGTAAGAAATACAAAAATTGCTGAATTAAGTGAAACATTATAAGAAAATATTGAAGAAATAAAGGAAATGTAATCATCAAAAATTCTGATATAAAATCGAGAAAATGAAAATCAAAAATCGGGAAAACGAAAAATTAAAAATTAACTGAAAAGTTAAAAAATGAAAAGTCTAATACTAGAAAAATTGCAATATTAAAAAGCTGCACATCGCAATATTGAAAAATTTTGGAAGTCCAGAATTCGAAAAATTGTAAAAATTGAAAATAAAAGAAAACAAAAACTATACCACCGTTTTTCGATTTTTCAATTTTTGGTTTTCTACTTTTTCGTTTCGGTTTTTTATTTTCTTTATAATTTTGTAGGTAAGCGAAGAAAAAAGTTTTTGCCCCGTTGGGAATCGAACCACGCATCTCCTGCTTGCCAGGCGGGTGCCTTGACCACTAGACTACAGAGCGACTTATCTTTACTTTTTTCGCTTACCTAGCTATTATTGTGCCGCCAGAATTTAAATTTTTTGGCTTTTCACTGTTCTAATTTTATTTTTTTTTTTTGACATTTTTCAATTTTTGAATTTTTCAGTATTTCGGTTTGCAGTTTTCCAGTTTTCAATTTTTCGATTTTCCAACTTTTAGATTTTTAATTTTTCGTTGTTTCAATTTTAGCTTTTTCAGTTTCTCGATTTTTAGTTTTAAGATTTGTTTCTTCATTCTTCAGTTTGCAAATTTTTGTTTTTCAGCTTCTAAATTTAGTTTTTCCATTTCTTTTTGGTTTTTCAACTTTGCAATTTTTAAAAAGAAAAAACGAAGCTTAAAATGAAACTGTTTCAATTCTAGGATTTTTCTCGATTTTTACTTTTGAATTTTTTTTTTGCTAGATCTTTTGATTTTTGGACTTCTTGGT